TATAATAATGTAAGCCCCATTGCCCCTTCCCTCCTGTCCTGCCCCACACAGACACCCCATTGTTTCACCAGCAGAGTAAAACAGGCACAGGAAAGCAATTCCAGCCTGAGCATGGAAGAACAGTGATTTGGGTGCTTGTTTAACATTCAGTGGTGGTGCCAGTCCTTTCTCATCCAAAGCAAGAGGTTGAATCAAGCATTTTCTCTTTTTCTTCCTCCCAGCCTCCTCTTCCTCCTCTCATATGGCCCCAGATCTGGAGCGCGCCCGGCCACAGACAAGCGGAGAGGAGGAACTCCAGCTGCAGCTGGCCTTGGCCATGAGCCGAGAGGAGAGCGAGAAGGTGAGGTTCACACACACAATGTTACACACACACACACCTGTTATTAACTGCATCAGGATCACGGGTTCTCTAGTGGTTTTGGTTCAGGATGCAGATTTTACTTTGGTATCACATGGTACTAAAAATATCTGGTAACACTTCATTTTAAGGACCAATTCTCACTATTAACTAGTTGCTAGCATGAATATTACTAGTATATTGGCTGTTTATTAGTACTTATAAAGCACATATTAATGCATTATTCTGCACGACCATATTCTAGATCCCTTAATCCGACCCCATACCTAAACTTAACAACTACCTTACTAAGCAGCAAATTAGGAGTTTATTGAGGCAAAAGTCATAGTTAATAGTCCCCAAACTAAAGTGTGACCAAATATTTATTGTACAAAAGTAACAAAAGAAATTAATCTTTCTAAAGTAACACTATCCAACAGCAACACCAACTGACTAAGTTAGTTACTAGTTAGTAGTTAACAATTAGTAGTAACAAATAAAAAATATTTCAGGTTGCATTAAAGAAGTCTTCACTTTTGTTTCGATATACATGAAAATCTTTGAGAATCGTTAACGTGTACAGCCTCTTACTGAATTATCAACACTAGGAAGACACAAGTGTGATAAAAGGGGTTTTATTAACAAAAGGATAGACAAGAGTAACTAACAGCTACTAAATGGGTACAATGAATGGCTAAAGTGCAAAAGATTGATAGATGCAAGTGACTGAGTTGGATGTTACTATGGACATTATCTTATGTAACGATAAACTGTAGTTTCCTGGAATTAATAAGGCAAACCTTATTAAGATTCAACAAATAAATCGAGAGGTTATTTGTTATTAACTGACATCAGCTATGTAAAATCTAATGCAAATTAGATAATCATAAACTGACAATACACTATAATGCCAATGGTCTCTTGAAAGAGGTTTGGAAGAGTGAGAGTTACGTTCCACTTCTGGGCCGCGACATCTTCCACTTGTTGACCTTGGCCACGCTGCAGTGGGAGAAAGGAGTTGGATCCGTTTCACAGTCTTGAACACGAAGCACTGGTGAATGATGAACTCCTGAGCAGGTCCTTAGTCTGGAAACACGCAAACGGAGGAGCCTTGTAGGTGAAGGTTCTGAAGTCTGTACAGACGATCCGAACAACCTGGAACCTGGAAGAAGGATCGTTTGATGAGATGATTGAGTTGCCAGAAGTTGTGGAAGAATATCCTAGCAGTTTGGAACTCGCAAACGGAGGATCCCTAAAGAGAAGGTTCTGAAGTAGTTGCAGAAGATTGGGGCACTAAGCTTGTGGTCGTTGTTGCTGTGGCAGTTTCCAAACTCCCCAAATTCACTCCTTGCAGAATTTCCTTGTTTCTCAGTAGTACAACAACAGCAGCTTAGCATATCTTGGCTTACCACATTTCTCTTAGCAACATCAGCTTAGCACACTTCTTTGTCTTGAAGAGAACCTCTTCCTCAGAAGGAGGGATTTGCAAGTTGGTTTCAGTTCCCGCGTTTTGATTGGCCGATGCTGTCAGAGGTGGTCATGGTATGGCCCTTCTGACATTAGGTCTATTTACATAGCTTAAAGTCCAAGTTTAGAACAATGTCTTTAAGGTTTTTCCTATGCGTAATTCACTTTCCAAACCAATTCCAGATTAACCTACACATTGTGCCGAAAATATGAAGACCAAACATCAAAGGGTAATGCAGAAAATGTACCCATGCATTCATATATACTGTATATACCTTAATAGGTAAGGTTGCATACATTGTTGTATCACCTGCAGCACTCATTAAGTATATACAGTTCTATAAATGGATTTGAAGAAGGTTTATTCACTTTTGTGTCCATTTTGTGTGAATGCATGTGAATATGTGTTTTTCCTTTGTGGCTTTGGCCACCTGGCAAAACTTGTATCTCCTGTGAGGGAATTTACGATCATTCACACTTTGATGAGAGAAACGGAGACAAAGCAGCTCCTGAGCGGGGGTTACTGTATGTTAATGTTAACTCCCTCTCCACAAGAGGTAGTGTTATTTTATCTGAAGACAAAAGGCGTGCTTTGTTGTCCACAAAACCTGATCAAATCAAAACGATGCTTTCCAATCATCAACTGCTGTCCACTACAATATGGATAAACTATTAAATGAAAATTGGACTTTTGTGGATGTTACACAAAAAGTACATTAGGTCCAACGTAACAAACCAAATATCTTTATGATTTTGCTCACAGGCATATTCAAATCTTTGTCTATTATTATTAAAAATGGAATTTCACTGGGTTAGTCCTTTTTTTTTGTTCTCTTCCCATTATATCACTTGCTTCCAAATAGAAAATCTAAATTAAATTGGCTATTTAATAAAAAAGGATCACTATCAATAGAACACTATCATATATCAACACAGCAAAGAAGCAGCAATTTCATGGGGTCTTTAGCACTTGAGAGGCTGTATGAAACTTTTCATCTAATCTGAGACCTTTGATTTAATGTATTAAAATGACCTTTTGTAATGCGCTTCATGGAGGCCACTTCTCTTCAATTAGAAGTTTGTAACAACTCATTATTTAGCTGGAGGCTTTAGTACAGCACCAAATTTCCAATTAGCATGTGGGCAAATGATTTGTTTTTGTAGTGCACTTGAGGTGAGACCGACATGTTGCTGTCTCCATTCAGCATTGTCCAGAAAGAGCTCGGTCACCATCTGACAGTGTTGCCAGTGTGTGAAGAGATCGCATTAGCATCCTCACTCACTGATAATGCAGGTCTAACTGAAGCTACAATGACTCTGAGTGCGTTACTGGACTGGTGCTTTGATCCAGCGCTCATAAATCAGACCGGGTGGAGCTGCTCTGTTGTTCTGTTGATGTTTAGGGAATATGTGCTATGCAGGATGTGCAGTACTTTAGTCCAAGACCCATCAGCCTTTTAATACACTATTGTTCAAAAATGTGTGATCGGTAAGATTTTTTGAATGACAACATTGATTCGCTTATAGTCTGGGGCTTATTTTCACTGATCCAAGCAAAAAATTATGTGGTAAAAAAAAAAAATGGAAATGGAGAATGGAAAAGTCTTTAATTTATTCCTCTAATGAATAACTGCACCACTTTTGTTTTTTTTTTAGCTAAAAATCGATTGGCTCTCTCAGGTTAGTTTGCTCCGCTCTAACCTCATTTCTCTTTTCCTCCAGCCCGTTCCTGCTGTGGATATTGATGAACAGACGCAGCTTCAGATCGCAATGAGTCTCAGTGAGGAGGAGGCACACAAGGTACTGCAATCCCAGGAGTCACCGCTACACCTCCCCTTCACCTATAAGTTGCCCAGTAGTTTCAGTAACATGCCTGTATGTTGTAAGTGACACTGCTTGCATGTTGTCTGATTGTATCTCTCTAGCCAGCTCCTCCTCCTGCTGCTGTTCTGGACATGGATGAAGAGGCACAGCTTCAGCTGGCCCTCACTATCAGTAAAGAGGAACATCAGCAGGTATGACCCTGGGTCATGAGTTTTAAAACTTTAACAATATCTATTAATTTTTAAAGTTCTACCCTCAATTGTAAGTATGTGGAAAAGCACCAATAATTATTTATTGTGTAGTTATTTACATAGATTTTTAAATAGTATTTAAAGAGCTTGGCAACCCTTCTGAAAAAGAAGTACACTTTAGTATGCACTTTAGCAAAATATACTTTAAAAGAGTGTACTTAAGTCTGAACTGAATGTAATGTTTTCAGACACTTAATTGCATGTTAATTGCTATTAAATTATGAAATATAGTATGTATAGTATGTATATGTATTATAGCCATTTTATTTCATTAATATTACATTATCTGCAAGTATACTTTTTTAAATATACTTTTAAGGTTTGAAGCACTACAAGTGCATATTCAATACAACGAAGCACACTTTCTTTTTCACAAGGGTATGCCAAAGTGTAAACACAATGAAACATAATAAACTCTGATAAAGAAAACCTATTTCTGTTTAAACCATATAGTCATGAAGAGTTTTATGATTTTAGAAATATCAAACCATTTTTAAGAAGGCAAATGTCACAGCATAGCAGGGTTAACAGAAAGTGAGGGACAAATTCTACATTTTCTACAAAATGCATAATGCTTTTTTCTCTATTTTGTAAATTTGAAATTGTGATTGACAAAAAAAGTTTACAAATAGTTATTAATTAAAAAAATATCCTTCACATTACACACTATCAGCATCTATCAACATTTTTTTTATTGTTAATTGCATCGGTATTAGGTCTAAGGAAACAAAAATGGCCATACTTCAGTTGTTTCAACATTTCAATGGCAAACAGTTACACAGGTATTTGTACCACAATTGTAAAATTTTTATGAATCTCACAAGTAGCCTAGAGGGGTCATTTTATGATGGAATCAGATTTTCCTTGTGTTCTTTGAGTTCAGTGTACTTTGAAAACTTGCTGTAATTTTTAGAACTCAAAACGTCCTTCCCAAACCAAAAAGACCATTTATTGAAACTAAACTGCCAAAATTACTTGTTCTGAAATCCTTGAGCTGCCCATTCATAGATTGTGTCCAAAAGAGGAAAAGTGGATTTTGCAGGCAGTATCCAGAGGTATGAAGGCATCAAGGCACATTCAGATTCAGTCTCACATTTTCCTAACATACTGTCTACTCCGATATCTTCATCTGGTCGTTTTTTTAAGGCAGCAGTACATTAAATTAGTTTATAAATAATAAATAGTTTTTCCACTCATGATTCAATTTCTACTAAGAAAAAAAGCACTGTAGTCATTAAATATTCATTTGGTTATCTCTCAGTTAAATTTGTTCTTGATCATTACACATAATGTTATGGTGTGTTGGGAGTGAGTTCAGTCCAGTCCAGACCAGTTTCCTCAGGAGGTGCCTTCATACTAAAACATTACCTGTTTAGACTGATTGGGCAGCAAAACAGGTTTCAGACACGACCATAGTGAGGAAATATGGAATAAATAGGATAATGTTATTATTTCCGATACTAGAAGAGCTGTTGACTATGAAAAGTGCAGTTAGTTAGTCAAACCTTGTGCTGTTCCTGGTTGTATGTAGCACCTACAGCTCTGCATATCCCAGCATTAGGAAAACACCTGAAGTTTGTTTTTGACAACATTGATGGTCACTTTAGTCTCATTCTGTCAGTTTTAATGGTGTATTTCAGGGCGGATTGTTTTATGACTTTGAAGCTTTGAAAAGTCTTTTATTGAAGGATGAGGGAATTGAAACTATATTGAACTTGACAACAAACATGCGTTTTGCCACAAAAAGTACAACAGAAACAAATGGCTTGTTGTAGCAAGGGGGTGGAAATGGTTATATAAACTAAATGGTCATACACATCTACATGAAATAGTGAAAAAAGTATAATAGTGTGACTGTGCATACTTGCTCTAGTTGTGTTCTTAAGGATGTCTTGAACTCTGACATGTCTTCTATGTCTGTTGGTTACTAGGAGGAGCAAAGTCGGCAGGGAGACGAGTCGTTGCTCCAGAAAGCACTTGAGGAGAGCAAACGAGAATTGGAGGCCAAAGGAGGAAGAGTATGAGACTCTTTTAACCTGTTCGCTCTTTATAAGCACATATAAATGAGTCTTCTGAATGCTTTTACTAAGAACAGATAAACAGATTGACAAATCATGTGTAGCTGTTCCTACGGTAAACCAGAGGACAAAGATAAAAAAAGACATTGACACTGTCAGGTACCAGGTGGTGTGGACCACCATTCGAAACATACGGGAAAAAGTTATACAATTTTGACCACTACTGGAGAGGACTTAATGTGCTTTGGTCTGTTAATTGAAGCTGGTTAATTTTTAGTTTGTCATATAAATTCAAGGTATTGTACTGCAGTGAAATGTCCCCATTGCAAGGTTTTTGTGAACGCTTATGTATAGATGCATGCTGTATTGACCTAAAAAATCTTTCTGAATGTGCTGAAAGTGCTTTTCTGTCCTTTCCTTTGGCAGTCTGCCATGCTGGATCTTGCAGATATTTTTGCTCCAGCTCCTGATGTGCCCTCTGCTGCCAGTTCTTGGGATTCATCTGGAGGCCATAGTGGCTTAGCCCAGGCTGGTCCTTTGAGGTCTGACCCCTGGGATAGTCTAGGTAAGCTCATATGATTGTATATCAGGAATGCACTCTTAAACATTAGAGGCCCACTAAGTATTTTAGATACATATAAAATAATACAATGCATAAAATGTGTCGCACTTCGTGGTGGCTGCCGGATCACATTACGAAAATTACTTTTTTAGCTACACCAGCCAATGGCTGTTCATTTGAGAGCGTATTTTGGCCATAAATATTTCTTAACAGTTAGAAATTTTATTTTGCCTTTATTTTATTTTACTGGAATTTTAATCATTTTTTGACAGAACATGGGACAGTTGAAAGGAAACGGTAGGAAAATTATAAAGGGGTGGATTTGACCAAAGTGGGGTTTGAACTCAGGTTGCCCTCACATAAGCAAGATAATGCAACATGATCATTATTTTTATTTAAAAATACTTTTTTCCCCCCTTTGACAGAGGAATTGTTTAGCACAGGTCATTGTGTCAACATATATATCATTTTGTTTCTCATATCCTTTAAAGTTAGTGGCAAACTAACATAATACTTGTCATGGCCAGTTTTTACTTGCATTTGGACTCTTTCAGTTTGCAAAAGAAATGAATCATGGGCGATGAATACGCCTGTGAATAGGGATTAGTATAGGCGTTCCTCAGTAACACTGGTAACCAAAAATGTTTGCTGCAACTACGTCAGTGACTCTCAGGCTTTTTGACTCCAAGGGCCCCCATCGTCAAATACAATATTTGAAGGCCTCTCAAGAAATTTATGATACTTCTCCTATAATGTCAAAGTTGCTCATTTTCAAACTTATGTATAGAAACTAAAATAAACAAAAATAATTAAATTCCATAATTCCAGTAGACGATTGTTCTTCCTGGTTTATACTTTTTATTACCAGTTTAGATTAGTTTTTTCCAGGTTGTCCAAGATCATAAGAACCCTGGTTTTTAAGTAAAAATGTCAGTTATTAAGGGAGCAAATTAAAATAAGAAACACGTATACATCTTGATTTTGAGGTGTCTTAGCTTATTTTAAACTAGGGATGTGTGAGACTAGTCAACTAGCTGGTATTGCTGCTGCTATCGACACTGGAAATACTAGTCATTTACAATACATAAATTATTTTTTTGCACATTTATGTTTTGCATTTTATTTTTACAAAGGCTACATTTAACTTGCAGTCATGTTAATGTTACTCTTTAAAATCAATATGTTATTTTGAAAAGTGTATATCTGGAGCGGAAAACAAAATCATTTCATTTCTGTCATGTGTATAAGTTCTTTTCATACACGAGAAGTGCGATCAAACCTGGACACATAGGAGGTTAACATGGTTTAGTATGGTATTTGAATGTTTGATTCATAAAATAAGTAGGCTACTTAAAATGGATCGCATATACAGTCTTCCGGGGTTTGTTAGACTAGTCGACTCGTCATTTACTACATTTCGGTTTAAACGTTAATTAAATTAGTTGTCTTGCAATTAGTTTTGTCTTATTTTAAGTAATTTTAAGCCATTATTGGGCCCCTTTGGTATTGTGCTGAGGCCCCCTAGTGGGCCTCAGACACCTGGTTGAGAGCCACTGATCTGCACTGATATGTGTCAGTATGAAGTCCATGACTACTGTTGTTTCGGCCAGTAAAAGAAACAAAAAATTTACTTGGTGCACCTTTAAGCACAATGAATGTAAATTTCCAGCAATATTGCCTTAATAATACAACCTTACTATCTGAATTCCACACACTTGCTGGATTGTGTTGAAGCAGAGCCCAGCTCTTTAAGCCGTCAACATGGAAGCTCATGGATGGCGTCTCCTGCATCAAGTGTTCGTTCCCAGCCTTGGGCGCAGCGACAGCCACATCCTGACCCATGGGATGCCCCTCAGAATGCCCCAAGCCCTGTGTCCATGAATCAGACCTGGATCTCCCCTGCACGTGGTACAAACTTCAACTTCTAGTTAACAATGTAGATTTGATCGCTGGTCATACCTAAAGATGCTAAATATACTAAATACACTAACTGAAGATGCTATTAATCCTATATAAGTCCAACCATTTTAGATTTGTTGTAAATTCTGTAGGAACTGGAGTGGATCCCTTTTCACCCCTAGAAGTAGACAAACAAGGATCTATTGGCCCTCTCAAAACTCCATCCCCTCGGGCAGGAAGTCCCTCAGGCAATCACAATGACTGCTCTTCTTAACCTAATTTTTTTTTCTATTAATTTTAATATATTAATATTAATAATCACTCATTGCTATGGTAATATATATATATTTGTAAGTCGCTTTGGATAAAAGCGTCTGCTAAATGACTAAATAAAAAAAAAATTAAAAAAAATCTATATATATATCTATATATATATATATATATGTATATATTTTTTTCCTTTTTTCTTTTTTGTGAATAGTTTGATTTTATGTCATTTATAAATATTTTATATTTACCATTCAAAGGTTTGGGGTCAGTAAGATTTGTTTAATTAATGCTTTTATTCAGCAAAAACACATAAAATTGATCAAAAGTGACAGTAAAGACATTTATAATGTTATAAAAGGTAAACTTTCTATTAAAGATTCCTGAAAAAATGTATCACAATTTCCACAAAAATATGAAGCAGCACACCTGTTTTCAACATTGATAATAAGAATTGTTTCTTGAGCAGCAATGCAGCATATTAGACACTGAAGACTGGAGTAATGATGCTGAAAATTCAGATTTGCAATCATAGGAATAAATTACATTTTAAAATATATTCACATAGAAAACGGTTATTTTAAATTGTAATAATATTTCACAATATTACTGTTTTACTGTAATTTTGATTGAATAAATGCAGCATTGGTGAGCATAAGAGAGTTATTTAAAAATAAAAAAAATTTAACATTCCCCGAAATTTTGAATGGTAGTGTGCATTTTGTATTCATTTATTTATTTATTTATCTCATTACTTTTATGTTTTATTCATATTTTTAGATGACGATCTTTTTGATGAAGCTATGGATGGAGGTCAGGCAAATATAAATGGCCATAGTAGTCCTGAGCCTTTCGATATGTCTTCCCTTGGCGAAGGTCTACCAAAAACAGCTCCTCGAACCTGCAGTACTCCAGAGGCATTTCTGGGTCCCACCGGAGCATCACTCGTCAACCTGAATTCTTTGATACCCTCCAACCCTCCTTCCAAGAACTTCAACCCGTTTTTATCAGGTTTGAATGCAGCACTGGACTATTATCAAACTTCTTGTTGTCATGTGTGTCTAAATCCATAATATTTTAATTGATTGTGGACTCTTTCCCATTTAGGAATAGCTGCTCCATCGGCCTCTAATCCATTCCAACATGAGCCGCCCCGTCTCACACTTAATCAAATGCACCCCAGCTCCACATCTCCTGTACCCACATCCCTCCCATTTAATGCCTCTCTGCCCATGGCTGCCAGCAACCAGCCCAGCTCCCTGCCTACTACCTTCACACAGTCTGCGCAGGTCCCGCCGCTGATCCCTGGAAACTTGCCGCAACCGCTGCTACCCCTGTCAACGACATCCACGCTTGGAGATCCAGACCAACACAATCAGAACCCGTTCCTATGAGCAGATCCAAACAAGCTTTTGAAATGACAATTTAACCACTGACTTGACTTAAAACTGGAACACACTTTTTTTTATTGTTTTTTCTCCTTTCACAGCTTCCTGATTTTGCTCTATGGAGTCACTCTTAAGAGGCGTTCACACATACAGTGACAAAAAACATTCATTTTCAACAATGGTGACCAATGTTGAAGCAATGTGGCGTATCCAGTGATGTGACAAAGTTGAGAAAAGTTCAATATTATACAAATGAGCAGTTATGTAATGTGGAGACCAATAGACACTGGTGCACATGTGATCCATCTCCTGAGATACTGTAGATGAGTTTCAGCAAAATGGACAAGTTTGTTAAGGTCCAGACCCACCAAACCAACATCAAAGAAATAGCACTGGCGAAAACCAACTGTGGTGTCACCTAGCGTCGCCTGCGTCTGGACCAAAAATTTGTGCTTGAACACATTACTAAGTATCTCCATACCAGCAGGTGGCAGTAGTCTGTATTCATCATTAAAAAATGGAAACTTGTATCTGTCTCTGTGCACACACAGGGTTAAAATTAAAAACTAAGTAGAAAACTATTTACCGACACTACACCCCATTTGTAATCAGATTTTTTAAAAATGTGGCCAGTTGTGCAGCGCACCAATAACATTAGGGCATTTAGCAATAAGAGCATCCACAATGACCACCAATACAGCCACTCAACGACCTCCAGTCATAAAATCACTGTATGTGTGAACGCCCTTGAACTATAATCATATGTGTGAATGTCAACCATGCATTACATGGCGATACAAATCGATGCTGGCTTTATAAGAAAATGACAAATAAATGGCACAATTTAAAGGTTAAGAATATTTAATTCGACTCCCACAGCATCAGTGTCACCTTTAAGTATTATAATAGTTTTTGGAAAGGATAACGCACTTGTTACCAAGCACAAGTCCAAAGCCTCTCATACATTTTTATCATATTCTCTGATTTCCTGCACCAATTTCTAGCTCTGCTTTAGTGTCCCTTTCTTGGTCTGGAGTATCTGATGACTTTCAATGCTGTCCTTTTATTTCCTTGACATGACTGGTATCTGTGAACAGCCGATCGCATCCTGATGGGTCACTCACACCAGTATGACAGATAAAAGCGACTAAGATTTTTGGGGCCAATAATTTAAGCAGCAAAATGTAAATTATAAATAATAATTTTGTAATATTGGGCATTGACTGTTGAATGAATAGACCTCCAGCAAGAGAATGTACTTACAGTGGTGTTCAGATTGAATTGATGCCACATACTAACAGAATGTAAGAATGTGAGACTGTTGCACATGTTGCTCATCAAATACAAGGATGAAGATTAAACTGAATGACACGTCTGGTTTGTCTTTGTTTATGGTTCATGCTCTCCACCTCTGGCTTGCCTTTTCTTAAATATATGGTATACAGTACTAGTCAAATATTTGGACGCACATACTCATAATTTTTTCTATTTTCCACATTTTAGAAAACTATGACATAACACAAATTGAAGAATGGAAATTGAGTAATTGTACTGTACATCTCAGCAATTCAGATGGCAGAAGATAATGGCTATACACGTTGATTCCCAAACCAGGGCCCCTGATACACTTTGATTTGGCCCATCATGCCATATTATAAGTCATAAGAGTGTGGGGGAGGGGACCATGCCACTGAAGAATATCTTCATTTCACTTTTTTTTTTTCAACATTTATTTTTTTATATATTTTATTTATTATTTATATTTGTTTTTTATATTTTATTTTTCAATTAGAATTTTAATATCAAATAATTATAGGTATAGTGAATTTGCTTTTGCCAGCCTAGGGAGGTGAAATAATGTGACGGGTACTCCCGTTGTGATTTTTGGATCACGTGTCACTTCAGGTGCAGTTATGAGTACATTAGATAAGAAAGATTGGTGGGATATCTAACTTGTAGAACCTCGCACTGTGTTATCAACACAAGGAAGACACCAGTGTAATCAAATAAATTATATTAACAAAAGATAGACAAAAGTAATCAACAACTACTAAATGAAATTGAAAGTGACGTGACGCGTAGCCAAGGATGGTGTCCCATACTCAGAATTTGTGCTCTGCATTTCACCCATCCAAGTGCACACACACAGCAGTGAGTAGTACACACACATACACACACACATACACACACACCCGCACACACATACACACACACATACCCCCACACCCGGAGCAGTGGGCAGCCATTTTTGCTGCAGCTCCCGGGGAGCAGTTGGGGGTTCGGTACCTTGCTCAAGGGTCTC